AAAGGAAAAATAGTTATATAAAAGTAGAAATAAGCATTTACATATTTTTACAAAGAAATTTAGAAACCTAACCGTATACGGAATTGTAAGTCCTTATATTAGGGAGAAAATACGATATTTACAGATGTGGGTCTGGTAAAACAAAGATTTTTTCATTTCAAAAAGTATCATATAAATGGGGGAAGTCTTTTATTTTTTTGGGTATTGCTCATTGATCCCAATGCCTCATAACTGCTAATATACTATACCACTGAGTTAAACTTCCAGCCCTTTTATTTTTTAATTGAAAAATTATGTATATTTCTAGTGGACAACATGAGAAAAATATTTTATTGCATTATTTTTATAGAACACTGGTTATAACAAAGAAAATAAAAATAGTGATGTTTGCCACTTTCTGGGATCTGGTAATAACTTTATTTTTTTATTTTTATTTTTTTTTTTTTTGGTAATAGCTTTAATAATAATAATGTTTTTTAATGATATTTGTTGTGATGGGAATTTATGTATTACATGTAAAGATGAAGGATAGCTTTGAAAATCACCCAAGATATGACAACTCCTTTTTATTCATGTTGGTAGAACATGATTTAAATTTTTTTTAATTTTATTTATTTGTTTATTTATTTATTTTCTGTGTATGTGGCCAGCTCAGCCCACCAGGGGGCAGGGCTGGCTGGCATGTGGTGCTGGGGGATTGAACCACGGTCCCTGTACTTTGCGTAGCTTACCTTGTTCTAAGTAGGTGCTTTAGACCACTGAGCCATCTCACCAGTCTCGGTAGAACATGATTTAAAAAAATCTATTCCTGGAAGTCCTTTGAGGTAGGAAGATATCTGACAACCCTGTCTTATCTTAGGACCTGCATACTACGTCATTGTGCTTTCCTTGTTGAAATCAAAGTATGCTGGAGGAAACTGCAAGTCAGGGGTTTTTTTTTTTTTTTTTTTTTTTTTTGGCGGAACCGGGGATTGAACTCAGACCCTTGTGCTTGCTAGGGAAGCGCTTATTCCACTGAGCCATCTCCCCGGCCCCTTGGTTTTTTTTTAATCAATCTCTTTTTTGTGTGTTTATTTATTTATTTATTTATTTATTTATTTTGTGTGTGTGTGTGGCCAGCTCAGCCCTCCAGGGGGCAGGGCTGGCTGGCATGTGGTGCTGGGGGATTGAACCACGGTCCCTGTACTTTGCTTAGCTTAGCTTGTTCTCAGTAGGTGCTTTAGACCACTGAGCCATCTCACCAGCCCCAAAGTCAGGGTTTTTTAACTTCTACTGGAAGCAAAATTTGCTGATTACATCAGAGTATAAGTTCCCTAAGGACAGGCCAAGGGCCTGGCTCCATGCTTTCCTTCCTATAATCTGTAACTTACTTGGTTCTCAGCATTAGAGGGAACTTGTAGGCCTTCAGGTTCAATCTCAGGGCAGAGAAGTGGTAGTATATTCCTGGGAGCCCTCAGAGGGGAAAGAAAATCTGGCTTTAGTTTTCAGCTCTGGTTAGCATGCTGGTCACTGTGGGTGTTTTAAGGGCCAGCTCATTAGACAGAAACAAGACTCTGCCTTCCCGGCTGGTGAGATGGCTCAGTAGTCTAAAGCACCTACTTAGAACAAGCTTAGCAAAGCACAGGACCGCGATTCAATCCCCCAGCACCACATGCCAGCCAACCCCGCCCCCTGGTGAGCTGAGCTGCCCCCTCACATAAATAAAATTAAAAAAAAAAAAAAAGATTCTGGCTTCCTAAGCCTATTTGGTCCATATTTCATTAACCATTCTAATAAGCCTATAATCTTTAGACTTAGCTTGGTCAACTAGCAGACAAAGACATGCAGGCTGTACAAAGACTCACACCTGATT